AAGATCAAAGATAGTTGATCAACTGATAAAATTATTTGATACGAAAAAAGTAATTATGTATAATAAATACTTTTAAAAATTAATAAATATTATAGGAAATGAATATTACAGTGCTTTTGTAACATTCTTAGCAAATATATTTAAAAAATACAATTTTAAAAATTTTGTTGCTACTAAAACAACAACTATTTTTCTAATATTTTATAAGAATTAATTAGTAAAAATATTGTAATCTAAGTTATATTCAAAAAATTTTTCCAATCAAAATTTTTTCTCTCTCTCTTTCTCTTTCTCCCTCTCTCCCTCTCCATCTTGAACAAGAAAAAAGATAAGTACTAATTAACCATTTCTTTTATTTTTTCTCTTTCTTCTTCCACTTGTTATTAACAAAAAATTAAATAGAGTGTTTTTTCTTTTTTAAATTCATTTATCACAATTTTTTATTCATTCTTTCTATTTCAAATTATCATTTCAGGTATATGAGGTAATTAATTCATTCAATTAGCAAAATGATTTAATAATAATATTAGTTTCAGTCAATAATTATCTCTTCTACATCGCTATTTTCTTTACTATACATTATTTTTTTTTCCTTTTTGATTTTGATTTCTTAAAAAGATAAGAATTTATTCTTATTTAATATTTTTACTTTTTTTTTATAGGATGAAAAAGATGAGAGAATAATGTATGCTAAATATATTGAATAGAAGAAGATTATCGATAATTTAGTTAATCAGTCATATTTGGCTGCGAGAAATGTTTGATCAATTATTGATCACTTCATTAGCTAATTGTAATTAATACTTTTTGAATTGTTGTTTACCCAGTAATAACCAATCAATATGGGTAAAATAAAAAAAAGAAATACTGTTTAACCAAAGGGATAGTACCAAACTTGAGCAAATGATATAATAATAACATCTTAACAGTGATAATATACCAATAAATGAGACTAATATTTGAAATATTATATCGAACAATGATTGTTTTATGAATAACTACCATATCTCAACAATAAATTAATTAATTATCAAATATTTCGTTTTTTTAAATGAATATAACAGAGAGAAAGCGAATTAGTTTTGTTATAACTGATAATAGCATTTAATCAAATTAATGACTTTTACTTATATTATTTTTACTTCACACAATCACGTTGTAAACATTAACATTTCTCGTATTACGCTTACTTATAACCGACAAATGTTAACGTCACGTCAAATGATATGAAATTCATATTGATATTTGGTTAGTTAAATTAGCTAGAGTAATGAAATTATCAGATGTTGTTGAAGTGAAAAATGCTAGCAAATTTTTTTCTATATTATCATAAGTTATAAAAAAGAAATAAAACCTAAGTCAAGCTAATAATAAATAATTGCACAGATTTGTTTAATAAAAACTAATAATTACTCAAATATTACTGATAAAAAGTGCATTAAGCACTATCATCACTATTATTAGCATTTGAATCATCAATGCACACATTAAAAATTCAAATATAATTCGAAAATGTCTAAATATAGTATCATTTTTTTAAATTATATTTTAATTAAGATATTTATTTTTCCATTTCATTTCAATCGTGTTTTCTTTTTTTTTAAACAGATTGTAAATTAAATTTTTTGGTGTTTTTTTCAAGACATCAGAAATTAAAAATAAGTGCTTATGGTAAAAATTAACAAATAATGTAATTATATGATTTAATTTCCTAAATTAACCAATTTTTATTTCATTCCGATCAAGTTAATAATTGATAAAATGCAAAAACTTGCACTGCATTTTAATACTATTTATCTTGCAAAATAAAAAAAAACACTTGGAAATATGAAAAAGGAAAGAAAAATTGAAAATTAAAATTAATTTAAAGAATGAGAAAAGTTCACTGAAAATAAAATGACATAATTTACAGATTGCTGAGAGAGAGAGAGAGAGAGAGAGAGAGAGAGAGAACAAAGATTTATTTATATTAGAAAGGAGAAAAATAAAATAATAACAATGAAGTAAAATGATTGAAGTGCAAGATGACAGCTATTTTGAATTCATCCAGCTTACCGTATTGTGTTGCTATATATATCAAATCTCTGCTAATAGTCAACTACTGTAATACCGTACTGCCATGATCATACGATGGTCAAACAAGCAATTACGGTATCGCATTTTTGTGGCTGAAAACAATTTAAATTAACAGAACGAATGTTTTATAAGGGTAATGTAACAATTGCATTTACTGAAATATTAAAAGATAAATATAAATAACAGTTTGATTATTAGCATCTCCAAATCAAATATCAAAATACAACAATAAAAAAAATACTAATTTATGAATAACAGACTGATAATACAGTCATAAAAATTAGTGATTTCAAGCATTTTAAAAAATAGTGAAAAAAAAAATTTGCATATAATAATTGAGTAATAATATAAAAGCAATTTAAATTGACAGAATCAAATTTTAAGTATATATGTAAGAATTTTGTGTTTCTTTTTGCTGATAAATTAGTCACTAATTATCATATATATTCATTTGCTTTTTGTTTGAAAAATTTTAATTAATTTTGATTATTATTTTTAGTGAGACAGAAAAAAAAAGAAATAGACTAAAAGAAATTGCTTTATTAAACAAACTGAAACGAACGACTGTTTCCCTATTTATTTTATCAAATAATTCATACATTATCATGTTATTCTAAATTTTATTTCCACTACAAAATTTTAAACTCATTGCAATGCAAATAAATAAGCATTTTTTATTTTTTACTCCATTTTTCTATTTTAAAATACAAAATTTAAAAAAAAAAATTAAAGAATGAATGTGAAAATGAGATGGAAAAATAGAGAAATGAAAAATATATGCATGTCAACAATTAGATTAAAAGAATATTAATTAGATTTTATCGTTTCATAGCATACACTTATGCTTGCCAACATTTCACTATTAATTCTTTAAATTTTTCATTAAATTTTACATAATTTCTTTAAATATTGCTAAATATTTATATTTTTTTGATTTATTTCTATTACAAATTTGACCTAAATTATCGTTTTATTTCGTTTATTGGATTTATTCAAATTAATTCACATATTACAATATTATTCAACCGTTTTTTTCCTTTTTTTTTTTTCTTTGCCATCTTTAAAAATTGCATTTTACATTCAGTCATCCATCAATAATGAGTGAAAAAAAAAATAAGGATAGATAATGCCAAAAATTATTGAAATTGTCAATTGTCACAATGAAATAACGTTGAGAGAGCAATTAAATTTTGTTCCTTTTTCTCAAATCATTTTTTGATTTTGTCAACAGAAAATAATTTTTTAAATAATAGTACTTAAATGCTGACATAAAATCATCAATTTTCATATGAACTCAGTCAATTTATTTTTGATTATTTTCTAAAATTAAATTTTAGTTTAAAATTTTGTCGAATATCTACGAGTCATACATTATTAATAATTTCTAATTTTTTATTTTCTTTTACTAATAGTTTAATAAATAATACCAATAATAAGTAAACAATAGTAATAATAACGATAAAATCATAATAAAATAATAATAACAATAATAACAGCAATAGTAATAATAATATCTGACCTATTTTATTAAGAATGAAATAACTGAATTTTAAATTCGTTTATAAATATATTTGAGCAAATAAAATATTTCAAATATCAAGTTATTTTTTTTTTATATTAAATGATTTGTGGATGTTTTAATTCATTTATTCCAGTATGTATAATTTTTTTTTTTAAAAAAACAATTATATAAGGAAGTCAATCTTTATTAAATTATCTTTTCATCATTTTAGAGATTAAACAAATTGAAGTCATTCATTTTTTGTATGCCATTTATTTTAACTTTTTTTCTGTTTGAATTAAAGTGACAGTATTTGAAATTAAAAACTGTTATGCATATATCATTAAAAAGGCAATTCTTCTAACCTATTTAATCATTTCACGTTTCATTAATAATATTTAATTAATTAACTATTACTATTAATCATATCAAAAAATGAGACGAATGGGAGAAAAAAAAAAGTAAAATGAACTGAAATGAACACAAAAAATGAACAAAAATGTAAAATTTTATTCACTCTTATCATATTGTTTACTTTATGAACTTTTCTCTTCCTTTAGTTCATATTATTCCCCTTATCATTTATCATTTCTTGTCATTTTTTTCTTCATCATCTCTGGTTCTTTCTTTTACTCATTCCCGGAATTTAACAATGATGCTTTTCTTCTTTCATTTTCAAATCAAGTTTTGCTTTCTCTCTCTTACTTTTTTTTTCATTTTTTCATTCTGTTTGTTAATAAAACCAGAAATCAGAAGTTTAAAAATTTTGTTAATGTGGTTTTAAAGGATAAAATTTTTCAAAAATTCATTGTTTTCTCGAAATGATAACGAATGAATCGTTCATAATTGCATGCTACATGCGCAAATCGAATTATTATTACTGCTATCACTCATTAATATTTAATAATGAATAATTAAACTTTTTTGCATAAAATTTTTTTTTTACATTTTCCAGTTAAAAAATTTCTAATTAGCTTATCAATAAGATAAAGTAGTGCAGTGATAATATTTCGAACTTATCATTCACTTCATGGATATCATTTCATTCTAATTATAACAAATTAGTGATTATATACACATATTCTCACACAACGATATAAAAATAAAGTATAAATATGATTAACTTATATAAATAAAAATTAAATACTTAAAATGATAATATTTTATCGTTTCATTGATGATTCTTAATAAACAAATGCTAGCAAATTTTTAAAATATTCATTTGATAGACAACAAAGTTGAGATTTCTCTTCAACTAGTGGAATGCGCTTTATTCGATCCTTCTAATTCTGATACATATACTAGTGATAACGTATTGATATGATTATCATTTGTTGTATTATGTTATCACTATTTCAGATATGTTAAAATTCTTGAAATTAACAAAAAAATTCATTCACATACAATGACCACAGCAGAAATGATGAATGTTGTGTTACTATCTTGCGGTCACAATAAACGATGGAAACGACATAGTATCGCGGTATTTAATCGTGGTAATAACTTAATAAATATAAATGATGGTTAGTTCATATTTTTATTCTTTTAACTAATTAATAAATTGACACTTAAATTTATAATTGAATTTTAATTATATCAAAATTACAAAATTTAATTATAAAAAACAAGTTTTAAATTTTTTTATGAATTACTAAAGACAATTATAATCATTTAAATGGTAATATTCATTTGTGATATTTAAATATTATATTTGCATTTCCGTATTTTAGAGCATTGTAAAATTTATCCCTTACTCAAGTACTTAATAATTTGATAAATTTTTTATCAGTGATTAGCAATAGAAAGAAAGCAATTAAATATGCTAAAAAATTTGTAAGCTTCTTAAAAAATAAATTTGTCATCTTTCTAAACCTTATTGTTAGTTACATTTTAAACGAAAAAAACCCCCAAGGGAATACTTTTTTCTTTTTTTTTCCTTCTTTCTTCTCAATTCCACTTCTCTTCTTCGGCATTTTTAATGTTTTAACTTTTATTGAAAAAGTAAGAAAAAGTAAAAAAAAAAAAGATTGACACTTGCTAAATTTCATCAATATGTTGCCAAGTAAAATATGAAATTTTACAAATTTCACGTGACTTAGCTTAGTTTTTTTTTTTTTTTTTTTTTTTTTTTATTGGTAGTTAAAATTATTAGTAATATTTTCATTATTAACATGATAAATATATGTTAGTAACATATAATTCATTGCTTTAAAATATAATTGTTGTTTTTTTAAAAAAAAATCATTTAACATACACATTAAGAAGAAAATAAACTGACTCATTTTCTAAAAAATTTATTAAAATAAAACTGAGAAAATGGTAATTGCCCGCTGATTTCATTTTCATCCGTCAAAACTAACAAACAAACAGTAAAAGTTGTTGTTTTTTTTTCGAAAGAGTTCATTAAATATATTTTTAAACGCATACACAGACTCTTTCTTTCATTTTTGTTTTATCACTTTGACTATGGTCTCTATTCTTCTATTTTGTTATAATTAATTTGTCTATAAATATAACTTTTAAGAAAAGAATTATTCAATCATATAATGGAAAATTCTACATTTAAATTATCACAAATGAATTTTAGACGTAATTTTTTTTTTAAAAAAAAAGTAACATTACCATTATTTTGCATTTTTTCCATTGTATGCATAGTGCTCTTTCCGTAACTTTCTAACCGATCAATCAATCAATCAATAAATCGATCAATTAGTCAGTCATAATATTTTTTTAATGAAAAAGTTATCACTTCACAAAATTTTTATAAGCACATTTTAATCCATTTTGCCACAGAAAATATTAAATCTTTTAAATCTTTTTTGCTACTTTTTCCATTTGTCTTTTCCTAAATTTAATGATTTTTCAATAAAAATTTAAATGAAATTTTATTTTACTATTGTAAGTAGCAAAAAAATAAAATTTTATTAAAATAAGAAATTTTTCTTTTTTTTTTTTTTTTGTATTTGCCCAAAGATCATTTCAATTCATGTTATTTACATTTATTTTATACTATCCAGCAAATTAACTTTTGATGTATGTATGTAATGCATGAAATTTTTCATCTACAAACTTGTTCGTTTTTTTTTTTTTTTCTTTTTTAAATCGATTTTCTTTGCTCTAAATATTTAGATCATTTATATCGATTCGATGGATCAAAGTAGTACTGAAGAATTACGGATAAATTATTTCCCTTGTTTCTCTTTTTTTTTTGATACAAAAACAAATCTCTCATTTATCAAATATTTTTTCATTTTTGAATATTGAAATTTTCCTTTTTTTATTGAAATTTTCCTCTCGGTGATTGTCATTTTTAACTTTTGACATTATTTTAGATATGAAATTATTTTCAATTAATTTTGTTATTTTTCATTCGAAGCTTTCTTTTTTTTTTCTATTTTTAAAATTAGTCGTTACAATATCAATGATAGAATTAATTTTTTTAGAAATGAATAAAAAATCGTCGAGAAAAATTTTTATAAAAATGAAATGAAAAATGAAAATAATGATAATATGACATTCATTTATTCTTTGTTGTGATTTTATTTTCAATTTATGATTCATTATAGTTTCAAAAAAGGAAACATTCAACAATGCTTCATAGCATATAAATTATGATCTTAATTTTAATTTTTTTATTTAACAAAGTTTTATCATAGAAATTAAATGAAAATATCACCTGATATGTTAAAATTAATAAATCTAATATTCTCATTCATGCTTTGGTCAGTGTTCATCTTTGAATAATCAGATTTAATAATTAATTCTAAATCACATTTTTACTTTAAATCAATTATTTTTACTTTTAAATGAATTTTTTGATTGTACTTTAATTTTTAAATTTTATATAAAATAAAAATTTATCTGTTTTAATTTTGTTTTTTTTTCTTTTTGCTAAAAAGCATATTTTATTACTAAAAAGCATATTTTATATTAATAACACATATGTGTGATAATTTCAGTCTTATAAGTTTCCATTGTACTTTTATTTATTTAATTTTTCTCATTTCACATTATCTGATTTTAAATTATTTCTAAAAATTAGAAGCAACTGTCATATGAAAAGTTATTTGAATCTTTTTTGTTTAGCTTAGTTCAATTTTTAATTTATTATTTCACTAACTTTGTTTGCAAAAAAAAAAAAAAATTAATTAGCATTTAAATCCTATCATATCATATAATTGTACAAATTTAATTTTTTAAATTCATATCTAATATATCTGCAAAGAAAAAAAAAGGAAGCATATTTCTTATTTAAATACTTTGTAACTAATCGCAAAATAATTTAAAACTAAAAGAAATCAATAAATAATATGAATATGAATTGAATTTTTTTAAAAAAAATATTTTTTAAATTAAAATTTAGGAAAAATAAAAAGAAATAAATTATTTTGCAGTTGAAGGAAATAATTCATCGCATTCATTAATGCTACAATCATTGCATCAAAAAGATGTCAACGAACGACGATTACCAGAGAATTGCCGTGATCGTTATGTGATTAGACGATTGGCCAAATCATCCGATGGGTATTTTAATTAATTAATTAATTAATTAATTAATTAATTAATTAATTAATTAATTAATTAATTAATTAATTAATTAACTAAATTATTCAGTGATAGATTCTTTCTTTTTTTTTCTTTTAAATATTTAATCAAAATATATTCTTTCTTAGAAAACTTTTTTTTTTCTTCGCATATTTTAATTAAATCATTTTAATTGTCAAATTTTCTTTCTTTTTCATTTATCTAATCAAATCATTCAATCTTCTAATCAATTAATCATTTAAAAAATGATTAATTAAATAGCTCAAACAATATTTTATTGTTTTAGCATAACAATAACAGATTTGGAATTATTACGAAAAACATTTATGGAACGATTCAATAATTGTAAGGAACATTCAGAAAGAATTTATGAATTGAAAAGTGCAATTTGTGCTACAAATGAAATTCAAATTTGTTCGTTCTTTTTTTTTTTCTTTATTTTCTCCCATAATGTGTTTTTTTTTAAAAAAATGTTTTATTGAATTGTTCACACATAAATGGAACAACAACAATTAGCATTGTTAACTATCATTTAAATTATCTAAATATTATTTGTGAAATATTTATGTTTGGATAATTTTTTTTAGGAATTAATTTTAAAAATTTTTCTCTTTTCAATGCATACATAAAATGTGTAAAATAAGTACTTTATTTCAAATACATATATATATTTCATAAATTCACAATAAAATTTTTATATCCTCACTGGTATATTTATTGTTTGTTGTTTATATGAAGAATGAATTTTTCGAAATGATCAAATTTCAAAATTTTAGGCTCACGTAATCCTCAGTGGTTAACTCAATATCAATATATTTTAAATTGGTGTTATTGTCAAATGAGATTTATTAGCAATCCTGCAGAAAGACTTCGATTATTTCTTGAAGTTAAGGTATTCTAAAAATGATATTTCTCTTTAAAAATTTTTTTTTTTTTTACATCATTGTTTACTAACTTGTTTTTGTTTGTTTGTTTGTTTATTTTGTATTAATCTCTTGTTTGCTTGTTTATTTGTTTACTTTTTTGTTCATGCAATTTTTTACTGTTAACTTAAATCATATGAAACCATAACATTCAACTTGATCAATAAATCAATCAATTAAATTAAAACGATGAAATAGTCGATTTTACAATAAACTGTGTAAATTTAAGGAAAAATACCGGAAGATGTTCGAAATTCTAAGAGATGTTGATGATGCTAATAAATTATCATCTTATCTTCATTGGTCACAACTATGCTATCAGTACGCTGAACTTGTTGATCGAGAATCCTTATCATGGTGTATCGAAGCAGTTATCAATGCAAAAAATGCCTTATTTAGTAATTTCTTGTTACTCCTTTTATCTTTTATTATATGCTATAAATCTGTAGAATGCTAATTATTTCAGTATCATCATCATCATCACGATCATCAACGATATCCGGAAAAACGGATTGTAGTAGATCAAATCGATCATCAACCAGTAATAGTATAAGTAGTAATGAACAAATGGAAAGTATAAGATCAGAGAATCAACGACGAGTTAAAATAGCTACTATTGGATTAATTCAAAGTAATGTATTAAAAGCTGAAAATGTTTATGCGTGTTGTTTAAAAAATCGATTAAAGATAGTTTTGTAATGCGTATCAAACATTTTACGTTTTCACGTTTCACGTTTTAAACGTTTCAAGTTTATATCACTTCGTTCATTTACAAATGTTTATCGTACATTGAAAAAAATAAAGTTTAATATTAAGTATATTTGACAGTTTTTTTTTCCTTTTTTATCATAATAATAATTATTATTATTCAAAGAGATAATAGTTTTTTCACTTTTTTTGAAAAAGATCAAATTAATTTGAAGTTTTATTTGTAAAGAGAAAAATTTTAAATTTAAACAAACATTTTGTTTTTCATTATCACACTATCTTTACCTCCACCTCCATCTCTCCTTTTTTTTTTTTGAAATGTTAATTTAAAAAAAAAAGTAGCAACACATGGCATAAATATTATGCGATATTTTTAATCAAAAAACAAAAATGAAATAATTCATTAATTGTGGGAATCATTTTTTTTTTTTTTTTTTGATCTAAATTTCCGGCATAAAATTTATTTCATTTGCAAGATTGTTTGTTGAATAAATGAGGAAAAAGAATACAAACTGAATTGATTAATAATTAATTAATGCCTATTTTAACAAAAATAAACAAAAAAAACTGATAAAAAAGTAAATTGTAAATTATTAAATAAAGACGAAAATGAGAAAAAAAAAATTTTACTATATTAAATTTTTAAAATTAATTTTCTTTGATAACAATCATTTAATAAATGTTAAAATTTCAAAAATACTATAAGATTTGAAATACTCAAAATGATTCGAATCAAAAATTAAATAACAATTTGTATAATAATGAATAAACGAATATGTAAATTATATAAATTATTTCAAAATTATTCTATGAAATCATCCAATGATACAACTATAAGTCAAAATAGAACAGTTGTTAAGAATTTATTGAAATGAAATTTCAGCCTTTTGTCTGTCTGTCTGTCAGCATGTGTGTGTGTATGTGTGTGTGAGTATGTGTGAGTATATGTGTGTGTGTGTGTGTGTGTATGTGTGTATGTGGTGTGTACCAGAGTGTGCACACACATCCATTCCTATGCAAGATATATTATAGTGATATTTGATGAGTTTGCAATCATTTTACCCGCACATTTATCTAATTTACCCTTCCCTCTCATTTATTTGTAAATTTTGTTTAATTTCATCCAAACAACAATTACTAATATATTTTTCATATTATTTATTTGATAATTATATTTTATTACATTATAATAAATTTAAATTTGTTAAATTAAATTATAGTTAATAATTACTAAATTATAGTTAATAATTACTATTTTTTTTCTTCTTTTATTTGCATTTGTCTTATCAAAAATTCGAAATAAAAATTTTACTACCATTAATATAAGTTATTTTTGGAATAGAAAAAATTTGCAAATTATTGAAATCTTTTTTTTATCGAAAATTATTATAGTTTTTGTAATCTTTTTTTTTTTTTGAGTTACACATATTAATAAGTTTGTTTACTTAAAATATATAAAGGAATTATTATTTGAATAATTCTTATTCATTTCAAATTATTCGTTATATCAAAATGTGAAATTCCAATTAACGTTGAATTATTCCCATTGTCATATTTGAAAAGCCTTATTATAGCTCTTATTAAAGACTCTTTTCATGATAATTGACATTTGATTGCATTGTTTTTACTCTCTGTACTCTAAACTTTCATCAAATATATGTCACATAAATAATACTAATTTAAATCCAATAGTAAAATATAAAAAATAAAAATTTAATTTTTATCCTCAAATGTCTCATTTATTCTTATATAATTTTCATATGTATTAAAAGTAATAATTAATTTTAAATTTCACATTTACTATTTTAACTTTTATTATACTTCAATAAACTAAATTAATTTTTTTACAAAATTATACAAATTGATGCACTATCGTTGCATAATACATTTAATAATAAAAGTGCGTACATTTATAATATATTTAATTTAAAAAAAAAACATTTTTTTCACTACCATATTTTGTTCTATTTTAATTAATTAATTAATTAATTAATCCTATCATACATTCCCTTATATTATAATTTAAATATGCATTTCAATCATTTTTTTTTTCTAATTTGCATATTAACGAAACATTCATTCAATGATTTCAGTGAAACGATTGCATCTTAAATCAAATTTTCAATTTTTAAGAATTGACTTTAGGCATAGTTTTATAAACATAACTTGTTTATGACTACTAACATAGGCCGAAATAGTGATGGATGAAAGATAAGTTAGATTATAATAGATGAGTCCTATCCATCCAACTCTCAAATCACTTATTCATTGATTTGCTTTTTTTCCTATGAAAAACTTTTCTCCAAGTGCGCCAATTTGGTCTTTGATATATTTATCTATTATATCGTTTATTTTTACTAAATTTTATTGTTTAAAATAAATTAATAAAAAATTTTTTCTGTCTTTTTTGTTCTCTTTTATTTAATTATAAACGAAAAATTTTACTGTTCAAAGAAAGCAGTGTTAATAGAATAAAAAATTTTCTTTTTTTTTTTCTAATGAATAAAAATAAAATAATTGATCTGATTTTATGCTATCATTGATAATATTTTTTTTTATTTTGAAAAAAAAAAATTTTTTTTTTTTATTTTGGGTGATTAATTGTTTAATAGGTGATAATTAACGCCGAGCGATTCATTAATTTTTTCCGTATTTTCCGTCATAGAACATTAATTCTATGACGGAAAATAATCTTTGCAATATTATTATTAATTTTTTGATCGATTAAAAAAAAGTAAACAAATAGTTTTAATTTTAATTCAATGGTAATTGTGTTATTCTATTCAAAATAGCAAATATAAGTGATTACTGATGTTAAATAAAGCTAATTTGCTTTATTTCATTGCAAAATATTTCAACTAACTGACAGATAATTTAATTTGATTTCAGGCTTATAGCCTGAACAATATCAGTAATTATTATTAGCCTAAAGTATGTTTGTCTGCTTTTTATGCCATAGCAATTTGTTACTTTTTGCATGGCAAATAAACAATAGTTGCTTGCTTACACTGAAAATGATTATTTGAAAAAATGAACTTTTATAAGTTACCATAATTTTAACTAAATTTAATATGTATATTATTTTCCATAATTGATAATAGCTACTTCCATTTATAATTTTGTTAATTTATAATTCAAATTAGTGATTAGTTATAATTCTATGATCTTTCCTTGTTGTCAGTGATAATGATAATAATAATAATAATAATAATAATAATAATAATAATAATAATAATAATAATAATAATAATAATTTACTTTTTTAAATTTTCGAAAAAGCTATACCAAAATAAAGTCATTTAAGAAGATGAAAAAAATGAATGTTTGTTATAATATTGATGAATAAGAGAGAAATAGAAATTTTGAGTTCCAAAAAAATAAAAAAAAGCATTCAAATTTATTCAAAAAAAAAAAAAAAAAAGGAAACCACAAAGGATTTACTTTCAAAAAGCCAATTTTGTTTTACAAAGAAATGTTAGAATTGAAATGAGCGATAAGATTTTTGAAGAAATTAAAAGAGAAATCTTACCCTTCTAGTCTTTTTTTTTTCTTGGCTCATTTTTTTAAGTGTATATGTACTCTTTTAAAATCTTTGGAAGATTTTGAAAACACTGATTAAAATGATTGACATTAGATATAAATGATTAAATTGCATAGCTTTCTTTCCTTTTACCAATCTAAAAATTTATTTATGCAAAAAAAAAAAAAGTAAAACTTAGCCAGTTGAAATTTCAATTTTGACAATAACATGATCATACATTATTAAAAAAAAAATGAAAAATTTGAAGAAAAAATTTTTTGCAAATAAAATTTTTCAAATTATTGTTATTTAGTAGCTTACTGTTTCGAAATTGATAAAATTTCCAAAAATATTACAAATTATGCTTGTAAAAAATAAAAAATAAAAGAGTTTTCGTCGCTTGGCATCATTGTTATTTTAAATCAAAAAATAATTTATGGACAATTTTTCAGATTTTCAAAATATCTAAATGATAATTTTTGAATTGATAAAAATAAAATTGGAACTAAATGTTAAACATTTAATTATTCCATTTAATATTTTTAAAATGCTTTCTTAAAAAAATCAATATTTTCAAATAAATTATAAACAAATATTAAATAACTTCTAGCTCGTCACATTTTTTTTTCTTTTTCAATCAATAATTGCAATAAAAATCTCAACAATTAATTGAATTAAAAGTAATATAAATCAACGAAATAAGCAATTCATGTTAGTGATTAATAATTTTTAACTCGTTTACTTAATTTATTTATTACTAACTCATCAAATGCTAATAAATAATATGATGTAAGAGAAATGAATTATTGCTATTTGTTATTGAACCTTTATAATAAAAAATTTCCTCTTTCTTCTTCTTCATATTTTGTATCACTCAAAAGTTATTCAAAAGTTTTTTCAGCACTTTGAAAATTTATAGCAAATACCTAAAATTGAACCATTTATATTTGAAATTTACTATGACAAAAATTGAATTTAAAAAGTTGCGAGAAAAATTTGCAAACTATTGAATTAATTTATTTTTAACTTGTTTACTGAATTAACTAAGCTGTTTTATTTATCAAAAAAAAAAAATACATCGCTTTTTTTTATGTTATTAGTATTAGCAAATGATGAATGATTAGTTAAATGATAATTGATAATTAATTAGAAATATAAGTTAATAAATATGATTGATTGATTGGTTGCTTAGTGAATTTGAAGCATATGTTTTAGAAGATGGACATACTCCCACTACACTTGACGAATTATCATTTATTTCAATTCATTCCATCACATTCTCAACATTCAAAAGTCATTTCAAGCACCTTTAATTTAAAAATTCTATTTTTAAAGTCTATTACTTGAATTTTAACTCTTTAAAATTAAGATATATTAGAATTAAAATTCTTGATTCAATATTGTTACATGAATTTTAATCCTAAAATTGTTACCTGAACTATAATTCTGAGGTCATTATTCGAATTTCACT